TAATATTGATTTCTTGGAGATGACACCAACAAAGAAAAAAAAAAAAAAAAAAAAAAAGATAAATTTGCCAATTAGATAGATTTCTAAATATGAAACTCATGATCGAAGAATTTAAAAAATTGTTATTATGAAAAATGTCACACATATAAAAAAATACTGTCGTACAGTTATTATATTTGTAACATAGGATGTGGAAAGCAGGAAGTGGAAATTAGAAATTGTCAGGTTTGAACTGATAAGAGAGAAGTATAAAGGGTCAGGTGTGCAGGGGTGTACAACATTGATTATAAATAGCCTTTGATAAGTCCAGAGTGCGTATTGCTACGCCTAGCAACACTAAAAGAAGCGAACAGAGGACATAAAATGGTACAATAAGATGTAGTAGAGTAACTGAAAAGAAAGTGGAAAAGGAGCAATAGAGGAACATACTCATAAACACAGAAGAAGCAAATAGAAAACAAATAGCAGAGTGGGAGACACAAACCCAGCCAAAGCAGCTATAAGATTAAATGTAAATGGTTTGAGGACCTGAGTATAGGAGGCAGAGATTGTCAAAGTGGGTAAAAAAGCAACACTTAAAAAAAAAACAAAAAAAATACCCAAAACAAGACCTAACCCTATGCTGTCTATGAAAGATACATTAAAATAAAAATACAGAAGTAACTTGATAGTAGAGGGATAAAAAAAGATATGGCATATACACTAAGCATAAGAAAATTGGCTTGATTATATTAATATCAGAAAAATGCAATTCCAAAACAAAGAATGTTCTTCCTGGAACTCTTCACTTTGTGTTTTTCTGCCTGTTGTCTCCTGCTGTTCCTTATAGACTTACCTTAAACATTACTCTCTCTAGGAAGCCTTCTCTCCAAGGTCTAGTCCCATGGGCTCAATAGCATCCTTAATTTCTCCAATCATTCTGTTTATTCCACTGTGTTTTAAGTATTTATCTGTCTCCTCTACATTTGAAATACTTCTCTGTCTGTAAGATCTGTGAAGAAGGGACTGTGTGTATAGTTGTTTGTTTGTTTGTTTGTTTTAGCTGAGCCATCCTGCTACCTGTTGGCAGTTCAGCCGCAGCTCAGCTCGGGCCAGGCATCAAACCGCTGTTGCTCAGCGCTCCCACTCTCGAGCGATCTCTTAACCAACTGAGCCACTAGGCCGGCCCTATAGTTGTTTTTTTAATCACTCTACTTCTAGCACCTAGCATTGTGCCTGATGCATCAAAATTATCAGTAGATATTTGTTGAATAAATGAATGAATGGTGAATGAACAACATAATAAATCAGTAAGAAATGTGTTGAACGACTGTAGGTTATATGCAGAAATATAACTGCAGAATAGGATCAAAAGAGTTTAAAAACTATAGGAAAGTTGGAAAAATCAAAAAGCATATTTTCTTTTGTAATCTAATGAGTAATTTTCCATTTACTTACCATAGACCCGAGTTGGTAGTTAAGAAGCTACGATACTATGCAAGATTTATAGTAGTTTGTCTTCTTCTCAACAAAATGGATGTTGTGAAGGATCTGGTAAAGGTAAATGTACTTTAAAATCATTAAAATCCTAATCTCTAATTATGTATAGATAATTTTGTTTTTTAAAAATAGATTTAAGGTTAAAATAATTTTTGATATATCTAAATCACTACAACATTCAAAGTATGGTAACTTCTGACAACGGTGATGATAAAAAAAAAATTTCCAACTTTTTTCATATTGCAAGCTCACACTGATCAGAGATAATTATCTTAATTCCTTGTTTTTATCCCTTCAGCATGTTCTACATTTCACCACTCATCAATGGAGGGTTGGGAAATGGCAAACAAAAATTAAAATAATTTAATTTAAGAAAAAATAATTGGAATGTTAGGTTCAAGAAAACGTACGTGTTTTACCAAGTTATTGTGAATGAGTTTTGGTTTCTTCATCCCTTAGTATGTCTGTACCTCTCAGTCCTTCATTAACTCAGGTAATTAAGAGTTAGTGGCATTCGGGATCCATTTAGTATCTGTACTGATTTCATCGTACTCCATCCTGACTGCATTCTGTACTCATGGTTTCAATGGCATACTTTTTAATTTTTGGTCCTCAAATATAACATGCTAGTTTTTTTTTTCTTTTAATTATTTTTTATTATGAAATACACATTTTTTAGAATTAGTTTCAGCTGTACAACACAGTGCAATAGTTATACTTTTTAACCCCTCGAAGTGACAACCTCCCTCCCACAATCCGCCGCCCCACTTCCCCCCAATATCATACATATCTATTACAAATCCCTTGCCTCCACTCCCACACTATACGTCCCATGACTATATATATATATATATATATATATATATATATATATATATATTCACTTATAGTTGACTATAACATGCTAGTTTTGACAAGTCCTCCTATGTCTTCCTCCACTCTTACCTACTAATAAGACTATTCTCCCCACCTCACCCCCAAAAATGTACGATATAAATCCAAAGAAAATTAGCTAGACAGTATACTTTTTTTTTTTAGTGCTAAAATTTTGGGGTTTTACCTTTAAGAGTTTTCTATTAATAAATTCGTTGCTGATGTCACATTGAGCAGATATGGGTCACTCTGGGACTCTAGGAAGATCTTACTGATGTGTATCATTTTGGAGTTTTTTATTTTGAAATTAATCCGTGTAATTTTCATTCTTTGTTTTTGGTTATAATTGGGATGGTATATTGATAATAATCAAACTTCTTAACTATGTCAGTTTCTGTCAGGAATATGGTACAATATAGCTGTCTATTTTTATGTTTTTTTCTATAACCATTTTTTTTGTGATATTTTAAAATCAGGAATTGTCCGATGAAATTGAAGATTATACTCACCGCTTTAATACTGAAGATCAAGTGGAATGGAACTTGGTGCTTCAAGAAGTAGCAGCTTTCATTGAGGTCAGTTTTTGACAAGAAAGGTTGTCATAATTATGGGTAAATAAATCCCCAAGTGATAGACATTTTTACTGTGTATATGTCAAGAAGGAATCACTTATACTGACATTTCGTGTTAGCCATCAGCTGCTTACTGCTTTTTCCTCCAGGCGGATCCCGTAATGATATTGAATGATGATAATACTATCGTTATCACATCTAATCGCCTTGCTGAAACGGGAGCCCCATTGCTGGAACAGGGCATGATTGTGGGACAGTTATCTCTGGCTGATGCGCTCATTATTGGTAATTGTAATAACCAGGTAAAGAATTATGAAGGCATATGCTTAAAATCCACTTTGAAAAATAGTGCTTTTGATTATTACAGGATTATTACTTCCTCGGAAATATCCTAACACCCATTTGTGAGGAAATGGTTAATTAAATTATGCTCTGTCCATGCATGAACTATATTACAGACATTTAAATGGTTTAGAAAGAATTTTTAATTGCAAAGGAAGCTACTCATGATATAGTAAGTGAAAAAACTTGTTTCATATGTGTTAAATTTTCGTATGTGTTAAAATGTCTCTATACATATATGCAAAGGAAAAAGACTAGGAAGAAATTCATCAATATCATAAAAGGTTTACCTCTGAATAGTAGAATTATAGGAGATTTTAATTTCCTTTACAATTTTCTACATCTGGATATTACTTTTATAATCGGGCAAAAAGGGGAGGGATTATTTTTAAGTACATTTGTCAAAAGCAAATTTCAAATTTTTTTCATGAAACAATAGTCCCATGATGATGATTTAATACACTAGAAATGTAATTTACTGGAAATTATGGGATATTGGAAAAGTCACCAGTGAATGCTTTTTTTTTTTAATTGGGGAATTGGGGGATGGGAACAACGCTGGGGAATTGGGGGAAGGGGTACAGACAAGTTGCTGTCGTTTTGTTCTTCAGTCTAGTTGTGGAGGACATTGCTTCACTGGCCCAAGTTGGCACCATCATTGCGCTCTTCCCAAGCGAGGCAGATCAGTTGCCGGCTTCTGGACGGCTGCTCACAGCGGCTGCTGGCCGCTCACGCTGGCTGATGGCTACACACGGCAACCGATAGCAACCCACTGCAGCAGGGGCTGCAGCCTATGCCGTTGCCAGTGACTCACGGCTGCCCAGCTCCAGGTTGAGCTGTTGTTCAGCATCTTAGCTGTAGAGGGCAGTGTCACTGGCCCTCATATGTGGGATCCGAACTGGGGCCCTCTGGAGTCCCAAACCAGCTCTTAACCAATGCGCCATTTGGCCGGCCCAGAATGCATTTTTCTATATGCAGTATTTATATAAGTTTTATTATTGGATCCTGCCCTTAACACCTGTTATTTCTGTTATTCGCTTTTTCTAGTACTTCTCCAATTTTGGCTTTTATAGCCATTAATTTGCAAATTTCTAAATTACAACATTTTAATTTAAATAAAACATTGCCTACCTGAAGTTGTATAGAAGTATTATTCAAAATAGAAAAGGAGGCGGTCTTAATCATTGTATACTGCCATGTTTTATAGGAACTAATATAAGTCTCTGTGTTTACATGACTGTTTTTATTTGTTTTTGAAAAATACCTGAAGAAACTGATGGATTGATAGAATATGGGTAGATGGGGAAATATGTAATTAATCAAATACAGAAAAATGTTAATGTTACAGGATCTAGATGATGAACGTATAGGTGTCATATAATCCTTTAAATCTTCTGTCTTTTAAAGTTTTTCATAATAAAATACTGAAAAATAAGCAATAAATAAAATAAAATATCCTATGTCATTAAGTACACATGAACGTCAAGAGTAACAATATGATTAAAGCCTTTAAGGTCTGCATACTGCATTAATAATGTTTTCCTTGCAGGTTAAGTTCAGTGAACTAACTGTTGACATGTTCCGGATGTTACAAGCTCTTGAAAGGGAGCCAATGAATTTAGCTTCCCAGATGAATAAGCCAGGAATGCAGGTATCTCCTTCCAACAAGCTCAATTTTGGCAACACTCTCGCTGTCTCTGCTCCTTGTGGAATGCTGTTATTCAACAAATGCCATGAGTGTAAATCAAGAACTCTCTTGATGAGACACAGGACAGATAAATAAGCATAATAATAGTGACACTGATAAAAACAAAACAAAACCATATTTGATAAAGATGGTAGTAAAAATAGGCATTGATAATTTACTTGTCAAATACAGCTTATGTGTGTATTGTTTTTGTGTATAAATACAGGAATCAGCTGACAAGCCTACCAGACGAGAAAACCCCCACAAGTATCTGCTGTACAAACCCACCTTCAGTCAACTATACACATTCTTAGCAGCGTCTTTTAAGGTACATATATGATCCAGTCCTTTTTATTCTATGGGGAAAGTGTGCCCTACATGGAATATGAGAGTCACTCTTCTCTTTGAATATTTGAGTCAAGAGTTTAGGTAAGATATGAAATTGAAAGTGTCTTTAGAATATCCTAATTGTAGCTATTTTCAGAATAGAAATTGCTTAGGAAGCTATGAATGTTCCTTACCATTAGTTAATGTGACTCTTGCTTAATTCCTTTCCTCAGGTTTTTATTACTAAACTACTTTAGCAATGAGTCAATTCAGAACTTAAAAAAAAAAAACAGGAGCAGGTTGCATAGGCCTGTTGTATATTCAAGCAGCTCAGGGAAACATTTTGGTCATTGACAGAGCTATGAGTGAGAAGTAGGGAATTCCTCCCAAAGTTTCTATAGAGAAAGCCACGCACGGGAGTTTGTCTTTTAGACCTATAATCAGGAACTTTACTTTTCCATTTTAAGTTTTGCATAGAGCATTCTGTCAATTCTCTGTATTCAAAACTTTTGGCAGTAGTTGTAGATCGTAGTTTAGTCATGAATCTCTGCTGCATGGATAGCTGTACGTTGGAACCAACTAGAGTGACTCAACTCTTAGAGAAAACAATAATATGTTAAATAAGGTTCTTGTTTTCCGCACAATTTGGAAGTGTCATGAGCTTTAAATAAATCTGTTATTTTCCCTGTGTGTTGTTTTTGTATATGTGATGTTTTTAAAATTTCAGGAGCTGCCTGCCAATAGTGTGCTTCTGATTTACCTGTCAGCCACTGGCGTTTTCCCCACAGGTCGTTCTGATAGTGAAGGTACAATAAAGGAATGCTCCCTGTTGTGAGCAGGGCTTGAATTCTCTTTATTTTCTACAAGACGATGGCCCATCGCCCACAGACCATCTCAAGCTTTCTAGAGAGGCTTGCAAATTTGAAACCGGATCTATTTGTTGAATTGGCAATCTTGCGGAAACCCTTGTCTGTTGTATTTGCTGAAATTTTATTCATTGAAGTCTACAAAGCATCAGCAAATCCACCTATCAGATGTGCCAAAATCACACGCATACATACGGAATAATCAAGCCTAATTACCTACATCCTTGAGTTTCTCTGAGCCTTAAGGGCACTAGGGAATCTGGTCAGTGGCTTCTTTTGTGGCTGAAAGTCTTTGTAGAAATCAGTACACTTTTGTAACTGTGAAAGTTCAAGTCCTTGTCATGATTGCTTTCTGTCCTTTATTTGGTTTTTATGAATTCAACTGTAAAATATTGGGATGCTGTTTCAGAATAAAAACTTAAAACTGCCCAAAATATATGAGTCCAGAATATATGAAATTGGTCAGAATAGGTGAGTAACTGGGATATAAATAAGGCAATTAAATCTTTGTCTGGACCAAAAAAAAAATTTTCTTAACATCCTTAACATTTTCCTCCTCATCTGTTTGTTGAAATTTGCATTCCTTTATACGATGCATGTCTCTGCCATCTTCCTTGCATGACCTACAGACCCTCTTAAAGTGTTAAAATGAAAACAAAACAAAATAAACCTCAAAGTATTTTCATTGCAGTGATTTTTTTTTTTAAACTTTACTGGGGGAATAGTGTGTTTTTCCAGGACCCATCAGCTCTAAGTCAAGTCACTGTTTTCAAACTAGTTGCAGAGGGCGCAGCTCACTGGCCCATGTGGGAATTGAACCAGTAACCTTGGTGTTATGAGACCGCGCTCTAACCGCCTGAGCCAACTGGCTGCCCCCTCAGTGATTTTTTTTTTTAAAGGATAAAATGTCAACATTAAAAGTGATGTGAAATCAAAAACTAATTTTTTATGGTAAAATTACTAATTTTATTGATAACTATTTCCATGTCTTCTATACTATTGAATCAGATTTTCTGGGCCTCAGCTTAATGTATTGACCTCTTGTTTTACTTTTTTCAAAGTACAATAGCACTACCATAGGTACTAAATGAATAGCCCTTTGAGAGAGATTATTCATAACATCCCACAGTTAGTTTCCATTTAGAAGAAGTTTAATTAACTGATATGACCAGTGGGAAAAGGCTAACTTTAAAAATGGAACTACAGTGGTTGAGACAATAATGATAATGATTTTTTTCAGACATTGAAATTTGACAATTCTTTTCTTAAAAATGAAGTTTTTGTCAATGAGAATTTTCAAGTTTCATTCTAAAATTTTCCTAAATTTTACAGTTAGTGCCTCCCTTAAAATTATATTTACGAATTTATTAGTGTCTAATCACTACTTTGTATACCTGACACTAATATAATATTGCGTGTCAACTGTAATTGAAAACAATTTTTTAATCAGAAAAAGAAATTATTAGGACTTTGTTCTTAGTAATTTCTTACTTAAGTAATTTTGTTAAACCTGAGATTTTAATTTGGCTTGAACTGTAAAGATTATTTTGCGCATCCCTTTTTTATTACCCAGAATAATGGGTAGATTGCTGTTTTGTTTCTCATTACATTCTGTTTGAAGAACTGATGAACAATTAAATGATTTTTTTAAATGTTGAATCAGGCAACATGCTGAAATCATTTACTGCATTAAACAAGAATGATAAATTTTAAAAGAACTAAAAATTTTTAATTGTCTCCCACTTGTATCAATGAGAGATTCACACACTACCTTTGTATTGGAACATCAGATCAATGTTACTCTCCAATTGAAGTCTAGGGTTTTTCCCTTTGTTTTTTTTCACAGGTCCTTATGACTTTGGAGGGGTACTTACTAATAGTAACCGGGATATAATAAATGGAGATGCCATCCACAAACGAAATCAATCCCACAAAGAAATGCACTGGTATGTATTCGAGCATCTCTCCCTATTATAAAAATCATTGTTCTCTCTTATAAAATGTTAAGTGAAATGGAGACTTTTTCTAGTACTAAGAAATATTCTCTCAGGCTACTATTAATAACACTTATTTCGATGCCAGCAATATTTCAGTCTCTATCCTAGAAAATTAGAATTTTTGGCTGATTTTTTAAAAAATGTGTTTCATTGAGTCTCTATTATATGTTGGGCACTATTCAATATGGACATATGTCAGTGAACAAAATTATATTTAAGCTGGACAAAACTGTAAATATATACATATATAAATATCAGGACTTGTTAATATCAATACAAATATGTTAACATCGATACGAACTTTTAATATAAGGTTCTGTTGATTTGATAAAAAGAGCAACTTCCATGGATGAAATCTACTTGAAATCATACAACTCAGTTCATTTGTGTTATTTTTTTAATTTTTTTATTTTTTTAAAGATTTTTATTGGGGAATTGGGGGGATGGGAACAGTGCTGGGGGATTGGGGAAGGGGAACAGACAAGTTGCTGTCGTTTTGTTCTTCAATCTAGTTGTGGAGGACGTTGCTTCACT